AGTTTTGTTTCCCTTGTTGGTACACACACCTTGTGTCAAACTCGAATTATTTATGGTTGAAACTTGATGAAATATTTATTTGAAAATTTGGAATGCACCTACTTAACTCTATTTACGGGATCTTTCTACCTGCTATGATTTTTGTGTCTTGATACTCAATGTAATTATGAAATAAGTAAAAAAATAACCATATTATTTTTAATAATAGGTATTTAGTATAACATCCGATTGGAGAAACTGCCAAGATGCTGTCATCGAGATGGGTATCGGATCATCAATAAACCCGTGGTACATGGTACATTCTTCTTCAGCAGAGAACACAAGTATAAATACCTCTCAAAACATATTTATCATATATTATAAAAAAAGATTTTCTGATGATTTTAGAATATTTTGAGATATAGAAATATTACTTGCTGATTATTTGTAATAAAATAAACTTTGAATCACAATTTGCTTTAAACGTGATGATGGACATGAAAAATAAATAAATACCTGATATGAGACCTAAAGAAGAAAATAAAATATTAGGTATTTACGTATGTACAAAAAGATTTGAACCGGCCAACGGGAAATAACAACAATAGATTTATAAACCGCGACATCTCGTGGTAAACTAAACATAGAGTAATTTGTTCTGGGAATTATAATTATGTAACATATAAATATGTTATTTAAAAAAAAAGAGATTTCTGTTGATTTTGATTATCTTGTAGATTATGCTATGTCAATGCAGTCGTGGCTAAAATCTTTAAAATAAAAATAGTTAAAATAATGAAGATTAGAAATAGCTTTAATTGAGCTTATGGGATATATAAAAAACATAATTTGTTAAAAGTAATGCCTGGCTTAAGGCGTAAGAATAAAAGAAATAAACTTATTTACATAATTACTTAAATAAAATAAAACGAGAACGAAGAGGAGTTTCTTATTTTAATATTTGTGAGCTTTCGGACCGTGACGTCCTTCTACTGGCTATAGAATGGAAGATATGAACGACTGTATATAGAGCTAAAGAATACAAATTTACATATTTAGAATTAATGGTATACATCTAAATTAACATGCAGCAGAGATAAACTAAGAATACATATTTACATCTGAATTAATATACAACGGCGTAAACTATTGCAATTGTGAGGGATAAGAAAAGGAAGAAAATAACTATGAATGTGATGTTTAAGGCATGATGACGGGTGGATGTGGATAAAGTGCTATTTCAACAGAATATGGTATGAGTCAGGTATATCTATGTGTCTATTGATACTATTGCATTGTAATGATATCATGGCCTCCAGGATAAATCTTTGATATTTGTTATTGGTGTTCTTATAATGGATGGTTGGATTGGATAAGTCAAACGAGTGACCTGTATTTAAGATATGGGTATATATTTGGGATCTTATGTTCTTATTGGTAATGTTTCTGCTGTGTTCATCCATTCTGATGGCCGCAGATCTACCCGTTTCCCCCACGTAAATGGCGGAGCATTGACGACATGGGACGGCATAGACCGCGCCATCAGAATTACAATTGTTGGTGGGCCTGTTAGATCGGGTTATAGGGTTTCTGGTTATGGATGCGATGTTAGGGTTATTGTAGTAGAATGTATTGATGCCGTATGGTTTCAGTAGTGAAGCTATGGCAACTGAATGTGGACTGTAGGGGAGAGTGCAGTGACCTTTGTTTATTTGTGCTGGTTTTGTATAATTTGGGTTATAAAAGTGTCTGTTGATGAATGAAATAGGGTAATTGGCATTTGACAAATGGGCTATTATCTTTGATTTCTCAATGCTTTGGAATATGTTAAGTGAACAATGTGTGAAGATCCGCTTGGTAAGGGTCTTCACTAAGCTTATTATATGGGTAATAGGGCAGTGGGAGCTATAATGTGTGTAGTGTGGGGGTGAATTGTTCTTATAGTAAACGGTAGTGTGAAAGAAATTATTGGTACGGATTATTAAGATATCAAGGAAGGGAAGGACGCGAGAGGTTTCAGTTTCGTATGTGAAGGAGATATCGGGATGAAATGAATTTAGGTCCTTGAGTATATGGCTAACAGAGTCTATTTTTGTGATGCAGAATATATCGTCTATGTAGCGTTTCCAGAAGTATATGTGATTGCTGTTGATTGATCCTTTCATCCAATGACACCATTACAATTTCTGCAACGATGGATGATAGTGTGCTGCCCATAGGGGAGCCCCTAATTTGTTTGTAATATTGTTGATTAAAGGTAAAGATGTTCATGTCTAAGCAGAGGGAGGTTAAATTAACAATGTAATCGGCTGTGTGGGTGTCAATTGGTGTGTTATATAAGAGTTTTTTGAGCTCACTTATAATTGACACCCACACAGCCGATTACATTGTTAATTTAACCTCCCTCTGCTTGGACATGAACATCTTTACCTTTAATCAACAATATTACAAACAAATTAGGGGCTCCCCTATGGGCAGCCCACTATCATCCATCGTTGCAGAAATTGTAATGGTGTCATTGGATGAAAGGATCAATCAACAGCAATCTTCTAGCATATACTTCTGGAAACGCTACATAGACGATATATTCTGCATCACAAAAATAGACTCTGTTAGCCATATACTTAAGGACCTAAATTCACTTCATCCCGATATCTCCTTCACATACGAAACTGAAACCTCTCGCGTCCTTCCCTTCCTTGATATCTTAATAATCCGTACCAATAATTTCTTTCACACTACCGTTTACTATAAGAACAATTCACCCCCACACTACACACATTATAGCTCCCACTGCCCTATTACCCATATAATAAGCTTAGTGAAGACCCTTACCAAGCGGATCTTCACACATTGTTCACTTAACATATTCCAAAACATAGAGAAATCAAAGATAATAGCCCATTTGTCAAATGCCAATTACCCTATTTCATTCATCAACAGACACTTTTATAACCCAAAATATAAAAAACCAGCACAAATAAACAAAGGTCACTGCACTCGCCCCCTTCAGTCCACATTCAGTTGCTATAGCTTCACTACTGAAACCATACGGCATCAATACATTCTACTACAATAACCCTAACATCGCATCCATAACCAGAAACCCTATAACCCGATCTAACAGGCCCACCAACAATTGTAATTCTGATGGCGCGGTCTATGCCGTCCCATGTCGTCAATGCTCCGCCATTTACGTGGGGGAAACGGGTAGATCTGCGGCCATCAGAATGGATGAACACAGCAGAAACATAACCAATAAGAACATAAGATCCCAAATATATACCCATATCTTAAATACAGGTCACTCGTTTGACTTATCCAATCCAACCATCCATTATAAGAACATCAATATAACAAATATCAAAGATTGATCCTGGAGGCCATGATATCATTACAATGCAATAGTATCAATAGACACATCGATATACCTGACTCATACCATATTCTGTTGAAATAGCACTTTATCCACATCCACCCGTCATCATGCCTTAAACATCACATTCATAGTTATTTTCTTCCTTTTCTTATCCCTTAATACCTTTTGAATATATATTTTAAATTATATAGCAACAAATATCTTTTAAGAAACTGATCATTTATATTATGCTTATTGTACACATTGCCAGATACTTCTTTATTTTGTATACAGGTCTTTTCTCGTTTTTTCTCTCTTTCTCATTGTTAACATCATATGAATATTCTATTCACGGTCTAAAATTATTGTATATATATATGTATAGACAAATGTAAAGGCATACATGTATGACAGCGTAAGTATCCCTAGGGGAACATAGCGCTTTAAATTGAAATAAAATTTTAAAATATAAAAACATGGATATTAATATTAAAATTGTAACTTTCTTAAATGTTTTACTGTTATAATAGTATTATTAAAATGCTAGTATAACGGTAAAACATGTAAGAAAGTTTATAGGAATAGATGTAGCTCTAGATCTGTCCGTAAAACAGATTTCGTCTAGTTTTATTTTTAAATTAGGTTTGCTAATGCTATTGTGTAATGTACAGCTTTGAATGAAACAATGGGTAAATTTTTTAATTCACAGATTGTTTCACAAATTTATGGTAGGTATCTATTTTATAAAATTTTGTGGTTTGTGTTCTCACAAATACTATAGAATAAATAATTAGTGATGTATTACAAGATATACAAGGAGAAAACAATTTAGGAATTTGAAGTGATCTGTAGTGTTTAATGATGGTACACCCAAATTAATACCGACAGGCCAAAAAAGAGGTGCGCGAACAATTATGAAAAAAAGTGTGATAAATGAAAGGACGTTGATGGAGAATTACTTCGGCCAATTACCTCTTGCCAGTTTATTTGCCCTTCCTTCTCTACGCGATTTCTTTCGAAAGTAGAGAACCAAGGCCGTAAGAATTGGTGTTCCTTGTATTGGGCAGGTCAACACTCTTGACGGTTCTTTAGAATTAACTATCAACAAAAATTGTATTGCCTTCTGACTGTGTACAAGTTTTTATTCTAGAGAAAAGCAATCCTGCTAATTCTGTTTGTTCATTGGAGTTTTGATGATTTCACGTCATCTTTCTATCGCGAAGCGAAAATTCGAAGAGAAAAATAATATTTCAAAAATTTTGCCTAGCAAATTCCTTAGGAAGGTCAACCAGTGGAATGTAGAAATGTCGAGAAATAATCGAAGTTAGAAATTTTGAAGATTATCTCTAGTTTGAATAATTACGTAACCTAATGTTGAAAACTACAATACAGAGTTTATTTTTAAAATAGCGATTTTTTAACGTTGTTTTTTTTTTTTTTGCTTATCCCTAGTACACGTGGTACAGGCCATGATAATCATGGTGGGTAGTTAGCGAATGCTTTTACTGTAAGTGCACCACATGTCTACACATGTGAAAAGCAGTTCGACTTTGCACTTACTAATGCCAGAGCCCCGTTTGGTTACTTGCACTCGCTGGTGGGGTTGGACATTTGCAAGAATCGGGGGCCATTGGAGCATTTTTTTTCTTTAAACAGAAAAAAGTGTCCAATGCGGGAATCGAACCCGGGTCCTAGTGGTCGAAAACCAAACGGTTTAACCAGCCTTCCACCGACCCCCTTTTAACGTTGTAAACCACATGAACCGTGCCATTTTCAAAATATTAAAAATATATATGTATATATTGTTGCACCAGGTTGCGGCTTGGCAAACTCTTCAACCTTGATTCTCTCCTGTGCCGGGTCTTGCATTTTATCAGAACGTGTTTCAACCATCCTACAAGGTTATATAAGGGAATAATGAGATAACTCTACTTTAAGTAGCCTCCAGAATCATTTATTTATTTCTCACATCAAAGAGAGCAGTGAAGTCACACAGTGCAAAAATACAAATGGTGATTTTATAATACATAATTCTGTTTATAATATTTATATATTCTGTTTAATAAAATAAATAAATATGAAATATAAATTTGAATTCAAAATATATGAAAAATAATCTTACAAGTTAAAATAAAATATGTGCATTAGCCATGATGCAACAATTTTAAAATAAAAAAGCTTACATGTCGCAATCTCTTTTTATTTTAGAAAACTTTCTGAGGAAGAATTTTCTTATTTTCTCGGATAATTAAAGCATCTAAAGAAAACTATTAACGTTTTCATCAAATAGAAGCACTTTGTCAATTTTATGAAGCTTAGGTTACCTCACAAACTATAATAGTTCATATACGATTTCTTCTGTTAGAAACGACTTAAATGGCGTGAAAGAATGGGTACTCCACAATGCAAGGGAAGATTTAAAAAAAAAAAAACTCCTGATGTTTAACGTTAGTTTTTCTATAAAGGAAACTAAAGATTCGCATAGTTGAAAAAATGGTAAAATCACACACAATTTAGAATATTATCAGATAATATTATCTCAATATTTTCCTATCGCAGTAAGGACGATAGAAATTTGTTTTATTTGAAAACGGAACATTTATTTTCATAGTAGCATTTCATTTTTGTTTATGCAAGGATGGTCGTGTCTAAGAATATGGCCGCTTATCAAATAGGTCGCTCATAGAAGATTTTACTCTATATATTAGACTTTTCACATGTCCTCCAATACCTCTCTTTTTGAATATAAATATTTATTTTCTCTTCAATGTGTGTGTGCACCTAAGGTCCTTTGGAGAATGTAACGTTTTGGAAAGGTCTGGCTCATCAGAGTTATACATTTCCAGCGGTTTCACCAATTTCATCTAGAAAACCGCTACAGCTTATTTCTTATATATAGTATATATATTTGAGGTTTGTTCACGGAAATATAATGATGTAAAACTATGTAAATATGCTTGTGTGGTTGTATTTTTACTTATCCCAAATACACACATTGGTCCAGAATGTGATGGATTGTTCGAGTGTTCATACAATGTAGAAACCAATATGACCTTGCACATACAAGATTCCAGAGCCCCACTTGTTTTACAGATTCACTGATGATGCTGTATCTGAGCAAGAATCAGGATCCATTGAAGAAAATTTCTTTCAGAAAAAGTGTTCAGTGCGGGGTTTGATACCTCATTGTAGATAACGGAAATGGACGGAGTATTCCACCAGGCAACTTTCTGAATAAAAAAAATGCAGGTTAGTTATTCTCTATGTTTTTTAAATCACCTATTGTTGAAATAATTGGTGATTAAAAACATAGAGAATAACTAACCAGCATTTTTTTATTTAGAAAAGATTAAACATGATACCAACACCTGCTCAATACTCTTTTTCTCACAATAAATGTGTTAGTTATTTACTATTACATTATCTATACCTATAAAAGGTGAAAGCTCAATACAGGATGAAAAATGAAGTCAAAGCATGATCTATATTTTTGTATATAAGCGTAGTCTACTTGTATGATACCGCTTTTAAATATATATATTAGAATTTGTGTTGTGTTGTGTGTGTGTTGATTCGCTCATAATATTCTGGCACAAGTTTACCTCCACCAGAAAGTACGAGTACCCAAATCTGGCTCTGGAAAAGTATAAATGCCAATTGGAATCGACAAGTATAGACAAACGTGGAGTCAAATTGCAGCACTTGTAGCAGTAACTCTCTTAATATCAATGATTGCCCTTAAAAATAATTTAAGTTTTCAGGAACCAAGGGATTCTCGTCTTGAGGCTTCAAATGTAAAATATGAGAGATCGTTCAAAACACATACTTCCATTGCCAATTTATAAGGTAAATAAAGTTATTTGATTTCCATGTCCTTTTCTCTTTCTAGCTGAACTTCATAAATAAGAGATAATGTACTGAAATTCAAAAGACCCAAGTACAATCGGATCTTTCCGATTCCATATCGAGGGGAAAAGAGGACAAACAATTAAAATACCTACGTAGAAGCCTATATACAAATAAAGTGTGTGTGTGTGTGTGTGTGTGTGTAGTGTGGTGTAGTGTGTAGTGTGTGTGTGTGTATCGAAAACTTATTACTTCAATTTCAAAATTGGCAATTTGACATAAATCGAAGGTAAATTAGGATTTGATGTTCCCATTTCTAAGTTTCTTTATGGATTTCCACAAAACATATAAAGACTAAAGTTTGGAAGAGGCCAATATCCAAATTTAATTATTGTAGTAATATTTGCTTTGAAAATTAAAATGCAAAATATCGATATGAGAATTAAATTGGCAGTTTATATTGTTTCAAAGCTGATGTCTATTTAAAAAATTGAACAATGAAGGACCTGATATACAGTACTGAAGACTGTATGGAGGCTGCAATGATTCAACGTTAATAGCCAAAAAGAAATAAATATGGCAAAGATAGTATGAACCAAATGCCCAGGTTGCGCGGGTATAATGCCCGATTAACAGTAAAAGAGAGAGAACTTGTCAATATTGAGGTTTCTCCGTTTCAGTGATGATGTCACAAAAAGGTAAATAAGACAGGGGGAAGTAGAGGTCAATGTCGTTCAGTTATAGTGACGATTTCCACAAAGCAGTAAACAGGGAAAGGACAGGAAGAAGCGAATATTCAGATCAAATAGTTAAAATAGCCATAACTTCAATAAACTGAATAAGGTAATGGCAGGTAGATGTAATGATCCATAATATTTTGTTATAGTGACGATCTCCATAAGAAAGTAAATAAGAACAGGAAGATTAAAATATATATATTACCGTGTTCTAGTCAAGATCATACAAAGAAGTGAATAAGACAAGAACAAGACAATATGAATGTCCAGATTACCCATTTCTAGTGACGATCTCTACAAATAGGCAAATAAGACAAGAACACACGACAAGGTGAATGTCCAGATTACCCTGTTCTAGTGACAATCTCTACAAAGAGGCAAATGAAACAAGAACACGACAAGGTGAATGTCCAGATTACCCATTTCTAGTGACAATACAACAAAGAGGTAAATAAGACAAGAACAAGACAATGTGAATGTCCATATTACCCATTTCTAGTGAAAATACAACAAAGAGGTAATTAAGACAAGAACAAGACAATGTGAATGTCCAGATTACCTTGTTCTAGTCACAATACAACAAAGAGGTAAATAAGACCAGAACAAGACAATGTGAATGTCCATATTACCCATTTCTAGTGAAAATACAACAAAGAGGTAAATAAGACAAGAACAAGACAATGTGAATGTCCAGATTACCCATTTCTAGTGACAATACAACAAAGAGGTAAATAAGACCAGAACAAGACAATGTGAATGTCCATATTACCCATTTCTAGTGAAAATACAACAAAGAGGTAAATAAGACAAGAACAAGACAATGTGAATGTCCAGTGTTGTGTATTTAAAATTACCTCGTCGTTCTTTAAGCAAATTATTCCAACTCACCTTTATGCTTCTATTCTTGTATTCATTTAGACAACATTCCTTAGGATTAATAAATTATTTATTTCAGTATTACATTTAATACAGCAGTTAATAATAAACAACTTAATTATATAAAATCTAACAAAAGAAAAACGCGGTCTTTTGTTTACCGCAAGCCAAAAACTATAAAAATATCAGGAGATGATGATAAATCAAATAATTATATTTGACCGGTCAATATTCAAAATTAAATATAATATTGACTAGTCATACGAAATATACATCATTTTCTCTCCTCTTCGGAAGAGCGGAACTCTTCACAGGTTCAATCTCGTAGGTGGTCTTCGGATCCTACTAGATCTCCGGAGGGGAATCACTGGAGGGGATTTAGGATCCGGTGGTGTACTAGTCCGGGGACTCTGGGCTGGTTCAGTAGAAGACTGCGGCTCCGATGTCACTTCCTGGTGTTGAGGAATCAGTTCTTCTGACTGGGTGTTGAGATCAGGCTCGGAGACTCCGGCGTGGTCTTCGGTAGCTTCAACTCTCTTGTCAGGAATGTGAGATCTCCGCACTTGGTCCCAATGCCTTCTAGCTTGTCCTCTGGCTGTTTGTAAAGTCACTAGACGGTTTCCCGTAGTGTTTTGGATGCTCGCTTGGTCCCATTTTGGCTCTGATTTGTAGGTTCGGTACCAAACCGACTCTCCTACCTTAAAGCCTGGTTCCTCCGATTTACCAGGATTTGGTAAAATCAGATCCAAGCGACTCCGAATGTTACGGCCAAACATCATTTCGGAAGGAGACTTTCTGATGCTGGCTATGGGGGTCCTTCTATACCCCAAAAGTATCTCAGCTAGGCGTTGAGATATGCTTCCTTGTTGTACTTTCTTAAGACCAGTTTTAATGGTTTGCACGGCACGTTCAGCTAAGCCATTGGAACTTGGGTGGAAGGGTGCAGTCCGTAGGTGACGGATACCATTTCTGGTCATGAACTGTCTGAATTCTTCGGAAGTGAACCCGGTACCATTATCAGATACTAGTGTTCTTGGAATGCCAAACCTGGCAAATAGACAGCGTAGTTGTTCGATGGTTTCTCTGGTGGAAGTGTTAGGAACAGGAATGGCTTCTATCCACTTGGTACAAGCGTCCACTACAATCAGGTACAGGTTTTGTTCAAATGGCCCCAGATGATCAATATGAACTCTATCCCAGGGTTGGTTGGTGGGCGGCCAATTTACTGGTGTAGCTCGGGGTGGCATGCAGGCATAGCTTTGGCAGCAGTTACACCGTCTAACGGTCTCTTCAATATCCTTGTC